AGCTGACTGGAGCGTTTTTTACAAGGCCTGATGAGAAAACAGAGAGAGAAGACTCTTAACCATGTGTGACAGCGTGCTGTTGATAAACGCCTTCTGGGCTGTCCAGGGGACGGGCTGATTTTGATCTTTTATTTAAGCAGCTAAAAAATATGAACATCAGGAGGGTCTCCGAAGTGCAAGAAGGCCTTTGATGGAGTGGCTGGTGCCTGGATGTGCGCCTTCACCGCTCCCAGGGCTCGGCTGGGACAGAACCCCGTCTCCATGGGCTCTCACAGTCCTCCCACCCCTTCCTTGTCCCTGTGGTTTACAGGCCTCAGGAGCAAGCAGGAGTTCAACCTGGACAGCTAACCCTTAATGCAGCTTCTCCATCATAACAGGTGATGCATTTAGGTTGTACATCAAAATAAGGCTGGAGAGGCTCCTTTAAAACAGAAGAGGCTCCCAGAGATAGAGCTATAAACCCCAAAGCTTTCCCACAGCTCAGCCTTTGCTGCAAAGGCAACATCCTCCACGGTCACCGCCTCAAAAAGCAGTTGAGATAGCCTACGTGAAAGAACGTGCACACAGGCCTGTAAAGTGATGGAGAGAGAGCAAGTCAACTGTGGGGCGAGCTCCCAGGCTCTACTTCCTCTCTGGCGAGTGGCCACAAGAACCCTCCTGCCCCAGAGTCACTTTAATCACATCGCCTTCCGGGTCACTACCCAACACAAGATGCTCAATATGGGTGTTAAAGTCCACCACCATGCCTCTCTCTGGACTTTTCCTGCCTTGTCACCCCTGCCAGGGCAAGTCCAGTTACTCCCCACCTTCCCACCCTTTAAACCATCAAGTGATCCATCATCCATCAAGCTATTTCTCCTTCTCCTCGGATCTCACCATCAGTTCTTTTCCAGATTTACATTTTATGAAACTGCCTGTCACAGGCTGTGTTTTCTGGAAATAGAGGGTAAGATGTAAACTGTTGAGAGGCAGCTGGGCTGAGATGCTAAATGTGTCTTTGGGACCAACCCCTGAGAAAGACCGGCAGGGATACAGGATAGACTAAGGGGGACAGTGCCGTGGAGCAGTTTTGGCAACCCTTACCCAACTGGAGGAAGCGGGGTGGGGGGCAGAGGGGCCTGAGATCTCTCAGAGGTGTCCTGCCTGGACTTTTGCACCCCCGCCTTGTTTCATCACCAGATGCAGCCACCCCCAAGAAGGGAGTGGCTTCTGGAAGGTGGCCCCTGGCAGCTAAGGCAGACCTTAAAGGAGCTGGGGGCTGGGGGGCTGACTGCTGACCAACACCCCACAGCTGGGCAGCTTGTCCTTCCTGGAAAAGAGGTCTGGCAGCGCACCTCTATATGTTCCCCACCCCGCCTCCAGGTTAATCCTATGGGAATCCAGTAATCCAGGGGCTCTAGCAACCCTAGGGGTGCACAAATATGGCCCATTATTGATATCAACCCCAGTTCTTGGACTCTTTAGTTTTTGAATTATTTAATGTATTTGGTTGCCCTGGGTCTCCGTGGCCGCGTGTGGGCTTTCTCTGGGTTTGGCAAGTGAGGGCTACTCTCCAGGTGCGGCACAAGGGCCTCTCCGTGGGGTGGTTCCTCCTGTTGGGGAGCAGGCACGCTAGAACACAGGCTCAGTAGTTGTGGCCCCCAGGCTTAGCCGCCTCTCGGCATGCGGAATCTTTCTGGACCAGGGATGGAACCCGGGCCCCCTGCATTGGCAGGTGGATCCTTAACCACTGGACCACCATGGAAGTCCTGGATTCTTTAATCAATAGCAGTTGATGAGGCCAGACAAGAAATCCAGGCAAGGCTTTATTGAGACTTGTGCTGCAGCTAGTACTAGGGAGCCAAAGCAAGTAACAGGCGCCCTTGCAGTCCCCTGAGATGGGGGCAAGTTGGTCCCTTAAATGGGGTGAGGGTGGGAGCCGATCAGTGAGACCGGCTGGAGGGGTGACTTGCATGGTCTGCCTACCCCGGCATCTCAGAAGTGGAAGGTAGGTTTTAGCCTTCCGTTCTCTCACTCTTCATCATTTGCCCCAACTGCACACGCTTGCAGTTATTTTTAGTCCCTTACGGTTTCTTTGTATTCTGTTCGAGGAGACGTTTTTCCAAGTGCAAGCACTGCAGTAAAAGGCCCCAGGTCCAGCCTGTCTAACTAGGAATGTCTTTGCACATCACACCCCTCATCTCAGGCATCATGTTGCACGTATGCTAGAGAGTTAGCCTCATGATCTCATCTGGCTGGTTCCCTAAAAGAGACCCTCCCAATCAGATATCTAGGGAAAGCCAGGCAAAGAAATTTCTCTCTAAAGTCCTTAGAGCAGACAGGAAGATTTCAGGTCTGTTACCTGCAGCTTACCCCATTGTGCAGGGTAATTATTAACATTTTTAAAATTTGGGGATGCCCTGCTCTAGAAACATCTATTCTTGGTCCTTCATTCAGTCACCGATCATTTACTTTGCGGACCTTTTATTATTCATCAGGCACTGAGCCAACCATTGGAGAGAGAGTGGGGAACAGGCCACACAAGGTCACTGTCATTGAAACACTTAGGGTCTAGTGGAAAAGAAAGGCTGAACAAGTACGCATGGAAACAGAACCATACATAGAAATAGGGTAAGTGCTCTACGAGAGAATAACAGGGTGGGAGAGTCAAGAAGGAACTGTAAGAGAGGTCAGAGAGACTGGCCAGCCCTGGGAGCCCTGGAGTGGGGTTGGTGTTTTATTCTCAGTGCAAGAGAAAGCAATCGGGGGACTATGAAGCTATGGGTGTCCTGATGTGGTTAATATTTTCCCAAGAACACTCCTGGTGGAGAATGACCGTAGGGCAGCAGCACTAGTGACAGGAAAGCCAGTTAAGAGCATGTAGCAATAACCCAGACTAGAGACGGTGCAGTTAGAGGCGAGCAGTCACGGCGGATCAAAGAGAGGAAGGATCCGAAATGGATTTGCAAACAAGAATCAGTCCTTCCTGGGGCTTCCCTGGTGGTCCAGTGGTTCAGACCCCGTGCTTCCAATGCAGGAGCTGGGGGTTCGATCCGTGGTCAGGAAATGAAGATCCTACATGCCACGTGGCACAGCCAAAGATAAGAATAAAATGTTTTTTTAAAAGAAATACTTTTTAAAAAGGAGAATTAGGGAGGAGGAGCCAAGATGGCGGAGGAATAGGACGGGGAGACCACTTTCTCCCCTACAAATTCATCGAAAGAACATTTGAACGCTGAGCAAATTTCACAAAACAACTTCTGATCGCTAGCAGAGGACATCAGGCGCCCAGAAAAGCAGCCCATTGTCTTC